ACTCAAAGCTGCACTGAAGGAATTGGTGAAGAACAAGGGTCCAGGAATTGAAGGACTACCCGCTGAGATGTTTCAACAAACGAATGCCCCACTGGAGGCACTCACTCGGCTTTGCTAAGAGATTTGGAAGATAGCTACTTGGCCAACTGACTGGAAGAGATCCATATTTGTACCCATTCCAAAGAAAGGTAATCCCACAGAATGTGGAAATTACCAAACTATATCATTAATATCACATGCAAGTAAAATCTTACTGAAGATAATTCAAAAACGGTTGCCGCAGTATATCGACAGAGAGCTTCCAGAATTGCAAGCTGGATTCAGAAGAGGAAGTGGAATAAGAGATATCATGTTGATGTCAGATGGATCTTAGCTGAAAGCGGAGAACAACATAAAGATGTTTACTTATGTTTTATTGACTATGCAAAATCATTTGGTTGTGTGGATCATAACAATTTATGGATAACAATGCAAAGAGTGGGAATTCCAGAACACTTAATTGTGCTCATGAGGAACCTGTGTATAGACCAAGAAGTAGTTATTCAGATATAACAAGGAGATAATGTGTGGTTTAAAATCAGGAAAGGTGTGTGTCAGAGTTGTTGTATCCTTTTATCATACTTATTTATTCTATCTGTATGCTGAGCAAATAATCCAAAAAGCTGGACTATTTGAAGAACACTGCATCATGATCTGAGGAAGACTCATCAACAGCCTGTGATAATGCAGATGACACAACCTTGCTTGCTGAAAGTGAAAGGACTAGAAGTACTTACTGATGAAGGTCAAAGAATACAGCCTTCAGTAAGGATTACACCTCAACATAAAGAAAACGAAAATCCTCACAACTGGACCAATAAACATGACGGTAAATGGAGAAAAGATTAACATCTTCAGGGATTTCATTTCACTTGTCTCCACAATCAACCCCCATGGAAGCAGCAGTCAAGAAATCAGATGTCATATTGCATTGGGCAAATTTTTTTGTATAAAACCTCTTTAGTGTTAAAGAGTAAAGACATCACTTTGAAGTTACCTGGCCTAACAACCCAATCCTTGGTATTGTCTGTTGCCTCATTTGCATGTGAAAGCTGGACAGTGAATAAGGAAGACAGTAGAAGAGTTGATGCCTTTGAATTGTAGTATCAGAGAAAATACCATGGACTGCGAGAAGAACAAACAAATCTTTCATGGTAGAAGTGCAGCCGAAATGTTTATTGGAAGCAAGAATGGCCAGACTTTGTCCCACCTATTTTAGTCATATTTTCAGAAGGTACCATTATCTGGAGAAAGGATATCATGCTTGGTAAAATAGAATGTGGGTGAAAGAGGGGAAGAGCCTTAACAAGATGGATGGGACACAGTGGCTGCAATGATGGGCTCAAGCGTAGTAAGGATGGTGAGGCTGGCAAAGGACCAGGCAGTGTTTTGTTCTCTTGTGCATAGAGTTGCTGTGAGTTGGAGCCTACTCCATGGCACCTAAGAACAACAAGAACATGGTACACATTTTATTCTGCCTGGCATTATAGTTACATGTCTACATGTATGTCTGTGTCCTTGAGGGAAAACCTTTATTTTTATGCCTCATAACAACACCCAGTACTTTGTACCAGATGTTCAATCAATATTTGTTGAATGCATGAAGAGAAATAAAGGATTTCTGAATAACATGTTTAGTATTAGCTTTTTTAGCCCTACAATTATGTTTGTATACTAAAGTTTCAATATTTTTCCTCCTGTAATTTTAGCTATTAGGAATTGTTACTTAGACAGTATTGATGGGTAGTGAATATCAGTGTATTTACAATGTCAGTGTAGTTTTTAAAATTCATAGTTTTGTATTTTTTATATAATGTTCTTCTATTTAGTTCTCTCTACCTAAGGCACTTGACTGCTAACCAGAAGGCTGG